GGCAGGCGGCCTGGCACAGAGGGGGCACTCAGGGGAGGAGGGACAAAGACACACGGATGATCGACCTGTCCTAAAGAGGGTTGGTAGGAGCACGCTGCTTTGCAGCGCAAGATGCTGCCACAGTTTGGTGGCTTTTTCGAACTCCTAACTATTCTGAAACAAAGCAAAAGCCACGCCTTGGCCAGACGCTGAGCACTAATCCCATCAGCGCCTGGAAGCCCTCCCAGACACAATCTCTGGCTCGCAGACAGCGGGACCCTCCCTCGGTCTGGCCTTCCCTCCCTCTCTCCCCGGGGGCCCACGGCCACCCCGGCTTCCTGGCTACTCCGGAAACTGTCCGCCCAGCGCCTCCAGGCGCTAGGTTCCACGCGCCCGCTCCATCCCGCGCCTGGGGTTCTGCGGAGCTGCATCCTGGGCGGAGGCGGCACCCCAGCTCTGGGGAGATCCAGCCCCGCTGCGTGGGAGGGTGACGGCGAGCATCCCGGATCCCGTGGCTCCTGATCCATCCCTGCACCCTGGCCCAGTGGGCGCAGCAGGCTCACCTGATTTGCCCATGGCCGGCTCGGTACGCTCCCGGGCTCCCGCTGCCTCTGCGCTCCCGGGCCAGTCGCAAACCGCTAGGACAGCCCTGGAGGAGGTCTAGCGGCCGCAGCCCCTCCCCCGGCGCAGCCCGGCCCCCGCCTTATAAGGCAGCAGCAGCTGCCGGCCGAGGTGCCTGGGGCCACCCCGCCGGCTGCCCGGAGGAGGCGCTGCACAACCCGCGCTCTGAGGAAAGGCCCTGGAGAACTTGTCCCGGTGTTAGGGCCCTTAACGACGGCCCAGGGCTCTCTCCAGGTGCGGACCTGGAGCCCGGGGCCTCCTGCATCTCAGCCCCGAGCTGTGCCTTCTCGGGACTGCGAATCCCGCGCCCCCCAGCAGGTTCCCTGTAGCTACTCTGCGGCAGACATGCTGCCAGGGCGGCGGTGTTCGCTGTCATGGCGTGAGGGACAGTTCATGCCTGGGACAGGAGATCTCCCTCCTCCTCCCGAGTGTGTCGCCTTCCCCAATCCAGTGACAACGGAGTCCGAAGGGCAAGTCCATCCTCTCCCCCGGACATACCCTCTGGTGTGAATCCGGGTCGGAGTTGGAATGCTGGCTCCTCTCTGCCTGTTCAGGTCCTCCCCATCCCTCAGGGTCTTTGTGTCCCTTTAACTTCCAGAGGCCCTGACCTTTCCTGACCTTGAGGGCGGCAGTCAGTACACACCTGGCACCAGGGGGACTTGGTCCCACTCACGGTCCCACCCCTGTGTGAGGACACTGGCATGAAGGCACGGCCCGGGTTACCCACGTCACGCCCCAGAGCAACTCCTTCCTGGGGAAGGGGCTCAGTCCATTCTACTTAAAGGAGCTAATTCTCATTTATTGCAAGGACCTTGCAATAAATGGGCACTGAAGTGCAATGACTTGCTGATTGCAGCCCAGCAGTAAGGCCGGGCGCCACCCTGTTTCCTCGCTCACACTATGTCAGGCATACACAGTCTCTGGGTTTCAGGACTTTCAGTGTTGGAGCGTGGGGAAGCGCAGCCCATCCCGGATCAACAGGGACTGCTGGTGCGAGGTGGAAATCTAATCCTTTATATTCAATGTGCTTTCCCATTTTGCCAGCAAATCCCTATTGAAGTGACCAAATGAAGCCAATAGGAAGAAGTCCATATCCACTCTGGAATCTCTGGAAGGCTGTTACTACCTTAACCAAAATTCAAGGCTGAGGGGTGGAGACAGCTAAGCACAGGGCAGCCACTCACTGCACACAGAGGGGAGCCCGTCAGGGAACCACCAAGTTCTCCTCACATGTCCTTGCCCAGAGCTGAAGGCTGAGGCGAGAGGGCCTCAAAGGGGTAGGGATCAAAATCTGAACTTAGTGGCACCTTTGGAGCCTGGGAACCTTAGAGCTGGCCTCAGCAGCAGCACGCGGAAGGGCCAGTGTGCTGAGCAGAGTTGGGGCGGTGCTGGAGTGGCCCCTCACCAAGGGCCCTGGGCTGGTTGGAGGGGCAGTCACTGCCCAGCCCCAGCTGGTGCCAAGGAGGCAGACAGAGACCAGAGAAATGGCAACGAAGGTCCGCCACAGAGTGGGGATTCAAGTTATGTTTTCCTTTTGGTTTTATGTGCTATTTAAGAACTCCTTCACCTGTTCTGAGATCATGACAAGTTTCTGTTTCCTTCTAGAAGTTTTACAGTGTTAACTTTTATATCTAGTTTTAGCTTCTACATTCATTTTGACTTTGGCTTGTGGTATGACGTCAGGATTGTAATTCTCTCTCCCTTTTTAAATCATTTTAAATTTTTCAGTTATAGTTGATATACATCATTATATTAGTTGCAGGTGTACACCCCAGCAGTTACACATTACAAAACTCAGCAAGTGGTCATTCTGATCAATCTTGTACCCACCTGAGACCACACGTAGTTATCGATCATTATTGGCTGTATTCCCTATGCTATACTTTACATCTCCGTGACTATTTTGTAACAACCAATTTGCATTTCTTAAATCTTTCATTTTTTTTTCCGCCTACCCCTTTAACCCTGTTCCCATCTGGCAGCTGTCAAACCCTTCTCCATCTATGGTTCTGTTTCTGTTCTGCTTGTTTGTTTACTTTGTTTTGTAGGTTCAATTGTTGATATGTATTTATTGCCATTTTATTGTTCATACTTTTTATTTTCTTTTCCTTCTTATTCTTCTTAAAGAAGACCCTTTAACATTTCATTTAGTACTGGTTTGGTGATGATGAACTCCTTTAGCTTTTCTTGTCTGGGAAGCTCTTTATCTGTCTTTTGTTTCTACATGATAGCTTTGCTGGGTAGAGTAGTCTTGGCTGTGGATCCTTGCTTTTCATCACTTCGAATTATTTTGCCACGCCCTTTTGGCCTTCAACGTTTATTTGAGAAATCAGCTGACAGTTTTATGGGAACTCCGTTGTAAGTAACTAACTGTTTTTCTCTTGCTGCTTTTAAGGTTCTCTCTTTATCTTTAACTTCTGACATTTTAATTATGATGTGTCTTGGTGTGCACCTCATTAGGGTCATCTTGTTTGTGACTGTACTTCCTAGACTTGTCCTTTGACAAGGCGGAGAAATTTTCTGTCATCATTGTTTCAGATAGATTTTCAGTTTCTTGTCCTCTCTCTTCTCATCCCGGCACCCCTATGATGTGAATGTTGGTGCTTGAAGTTGTCCCAGAGACTCTTTACACTACCCTCATTTTTTTTGGATTAAGTATTCTTTTTGCTCTTCCAATTGGGTGTTTTTTGCTTCTTTATATTGAAAATTGCTGATTTGATTCTCGGCTTCATCTGCTCTACTGTTGATTCCCTGTGAATTATCCTTTATTTCAACAAGTGTATCCTTCCTTTCTCTCTGGTTCTTTCTATTTAAAATGGCCCCCAACCGAAGTGTTGAGGTGCTGGGCAGTGTTCCTAAGGGCAGGAAGCCTGTGGTGTGTGTGCCTGACGGAGGGTATGTGTGTGTCAGTTAAGCTCTGTTCAGGCATGAGTTACAGTGCTGTTGCCATGAGCCCAGTGTTCATGAATCAACAGTATAAATGAAGGTAAAATCAAAGCAGATAGCCAGAGACAAAATGACAATTAGAATACTCATTTAAGAGCATGGGGCGTGGACCTGAGGTTATGTGGCCCAAGTCCAAGTTCTGGCTCTGCTGCCCACCAACTGATTCTGAAGGAGCTTGAAATGAACATAGTAATACCTGTCTTAGAGGATTAAGAAAAGATTTTTAGATTAAACTGAGATGGTACTTAAAAAGCACTCTTTAAATGTCACATATTTTTATCTGTGTAGTATTTCTCGGTCCCCATTTATATATGTAAAAAAGCACCTTTGTTTCTCTGAATAGATCAAGGCAAAATTCTGCTGAGAGTAGGAAACTTGAACTTGCACTTTGAAGGAAACTTGGCCACATCTATTTTAATCTCTTGGGGGTGAGTACTCAAGCATTCTAGAATCTTTCTCAACCCCCTGTACACCTCGGGTCAGTTCCAGATTCGGATGCTTGCACAAGAACATCTGCTGGGCTGAGTCTGGGTCACATGCCTTCACACAAGCTCCAGAAGGAGAACAGAGGAATGCCTGCGCCCCTTCAACGTCCGTTCTCGGGTGCAAGATCTTCCATCCTCAGAGATTTCTCCACATGCTGAGCAGCCAACACACAGCAAATGTCTACCCTCTCTCCCCTTTCAGCGGGGGAACTTTATTTCCATCTTACATGTTTCCCTGGAATGTTCTGTACTCCATGACTCAGTCCTTCTCAGTGTCTAAGCTCTTCCCTCACAATGGATTCTTCCCCAAAGTGTGGTTTAAGGTACAAACTATGCTTTAAGCTTTGTAGGCTTTGGCTCTTGGTCTGCAGGTTTTTGGAATAAAAAATTCATTGTGATAGCTCAATGAGTGGAAGGCCACGGAAACGAGAAAATCGGGGGAAAACCTTGGCAGAAAAATCTCCTTATTTTACCAGGTTGTGCTCTCTTTTGTTATTGCTGTTGGAAAATATACTAGATAAAGCCAAAGCTGTACTTAGAGGCAAATACACTATATGATAAATGTATGAACATGAACTTTCAGTTATACCTGGGTTCAAACTATCCCTGTTCCACTATCTACCAGCCATGTGACCTTGGGGAAATTATTTAATTTCCTAAAGCCTTAGTTGTATCAACTATAAACAGTGTTAATAATACTATTTGTTCATAGGGAGATTATGAGAATTGGATGAGATAATTCATTTAAAACACTTGAGCCCTGCCTGGCTCAGTGGATTCAGCGCGGGCCTGTGAACCAAAGCGTCACTGGTTTGATTCCCAGTCAGGGCACATGCCTGGGTGGTGGGCCAGGTCCCCAGTAGGGGGTGCTCAAGAGGCAACCCATACACTGATGTTTCTCTCCCTTTCTTTCTCCCTCCCTTCCCCTCTCTAAATATAAATAAATTAAATTAAAAAAATAATAAAACACTTGATAGGATGCTTTTATGAAATAAATCCTTGGAGAGTTTTCAGTAAGTGGTCGAGGAACCTTCTTGGTCACTCTTGGCCATTTGTCACATGACAGTTCTTCCAGCGGGAACTGTCAGTAGAAGAGCGTGCTACACAGGCTCAGGCTGTTCCCATGAGATCAGAGATGTAAGCTGCAACTCAGCGTGGCGTGTTCGGCAGATTTCACATTTTGCTGACTTGTAGTGTGGTACTCCCATCAGCGTGTAGACTAAGTTCATCCATCAGAGCTGCAAATGAGAAAGAAGAACTGCAGCTAGATGACAGCACTGTGGATCCTGGGCACACGGGAGGAGAGCGGGGAGCCTGAAGGGAGACGACTTGGCACCAGGGCATGTCCATGGAGCTAAACTGTTGATGAGCCTCTTATTGTCCCTTCTTCCTAAGAGAGGGGGCTTCTCTCTCTGCCCAGAAACCAGGAAGGAGAGAACCTTCATCACCAAAGGGCTGAGCAAGATGACTTATTATTACTTAATATTGTACTTCCTTAATGAGAAAATAAAGGACTTGGATGAAAGTTTCTTTTTATTGGTATCTGTATTGCTATAGGTTAAATGTTTGTGGCCCCCCTAAATTCATATGTTGCAACCTAATCCCTAAAGTGGTGGTATTTGTCTGAGGGGCCTTTGGGAGATGATTAAGTCATGAGGGTGAAGCCCGTATGAGTGGGATTAGTGTCCTTATGAAAGAGACCCCAGAGAGCTCCCTCTCCCCTCCCGCCATGTGAGGACACTAGAATTCAGCCGTCTGCAACCCAGAAGAGGGCTCTCCTCAGAACCGACCATGCTGGCATCCTGAGCTCGAGAACTTCCCCACCTGAGACTTCCCGACTCAGGGACTGTGAGAAATGCATTTCTGTGGTTTACAAGCTGCCCAGTCTGTGGTATTTTGTCACGGCAGCCCAAATGAAACCATGTACCTTAGAATTCTGAACTTTACATTTACTGTCTTATAATAAAAACAATCTATTACCTAATTTGGAGCCTGGAGGGGGAAGAGTCCCCTGGTCTTTGATTTAAAAAAAAAAATTCCCCTAAAATAGCCTGAAACATGATTGATAGTCAATATATCTTAACTGTTACTGTACTACTTATTTAAAAAGAGATAAAGAAACTAAGTGTTGGCCTAAGGGAGCTAGACAAATCACAAAACATAATTTTAAAAAAAGGACCACAAAGACTGAACCCTGGTTCACGAATAAATGCCAATGAGCTTAGGAGCGAAGAGCATTGATGTTTGCCGCGTATTCTGAGATGCATAAAAATGGATTCAAGTCACTCTGAAACACATAAAATAAGGTGGATGGGCAGAAGGAGAGATGGGTAAAAGTGAGAAAGCAAAAACAGTACTATGTTCATTGTAGAATCTAGAGGGTGAGTATATGAATTTTCACTTGAAAATTGTTTATAGATTTGAATTTTCCCATAATAAAGTGTTTAAAAATGAACTGACTAAAGAAATTACTATAGATTAAAGCTGAAAATCATACATTAGAAAACAGAACAGAATTGAAAATTCCAGCTGAGGGCTGGAAGATACATTTTAAGTAGATAAACTTCTATAAAATCAAATCTTAAAAATGTGTAAAAGGTGAGAAAACTCAAATGCATCACATCAGTAATAAAAAAGGGGGTGTAATCTCTTCTTAGAAGCGTTCAGAAAAATATCGACAATTCTCCACTAGTAGTTTTTCTGAACTTGGCAGTTTGCTAGGAAAATACAAATGACTAAGGTGATTTATTTAAGGTGAGAAAAAAATCTAAATGAACCCATATAACCATAAAAACAAAAAGAAAAATATTCAGTATCAATGCTTACCTAAACACGGCTGGACCCAGCTAGGCTTGCAGACAAGTTCTATCGAACCTTGAGAGACGGGTGATTCCAGTACCGTTTACATGTTCTAAGGCACCACTTCTCCACCTGTGTGCCACAAGAATTTCAAAAACATGCAATACCTGACTATTTAGTCAGGGGCACTACTCTCTTTTCCCTTAGACTGTCAAATAAAAAAAAATGACAACAGCCAACACAACAATAGCTATCAGTGAGAATGAATCAATATTATACCTATTTTTTTAATCACACTGGCAAAAAATACATTTTTTGGTGTGCTGCAGAATTTTTGTAATTAGTTTATGTGCCATGACACGAAAAGGTTGAAAATCGCCATTCTAAAGCTTAGAATACATCCCCTGTTCATTTCACAATGCTAGGATGATCCTGATTCCAAAACCTGAAAAATGCAGCAAATACGAAAAGACATAGTGCAACCTCCTTCATGAATATAAATACAAAAATCCTAAACAAAATATCAGCAAATTGAATCTAGCAGTACATTATTCAAATAATACATCATGGCCAAATAAAATTTATTTCAAGAGCATAGGGATGACTTAATATTAAGAAATATGTTCATAATTTATAAGACAAAGAAAAGTATGTAAATGAATGCTGAAAATATCTTTGATACATTCGATATCCATTACTGAGTTATTTTTTTTTTTTGCTTTCCCTTAGCAGAATAAAAAGAAGCTTCCTTAAACAAACATAAAACGTGTCTCACTGAGACATGTCCTGACTAACAATGGAAAACAATGGGACATTTCCATTAAAGCTGAGCATAACCAGGTTTCTTGTTATTGCCACCATGATTCAACACTGTTTTGGGAGGTTTAGCCAATACCAGGACAAAAAAAAAAAAAAGAGATAAGATGTATAAATATTGGAAAAGAAAGAGCATAGTTTTCATGATGACTCCTCCCTGGAATAGCTGACGAAAATCTATTAAACTGATATAAAAATTTGTTTAATGATAGCCAGGCCCAAGAACATTTTAAAGACTCAATAGCTTTTTTCACATAGCATCGATAACCAGTCAGAATATATCACTGGGGAAATGCTGACAATAGCAACCACCACCCATTTTAAAAGCAACCAAGCATAGACTTACTTTGCTAGTTAATAACCACATTTATTCTATTTGAGGATTACATCCCTTCCTCCCGTGTGACAGCCTGGGCTGTTTCTCGAAGAAAAGGAGCACTCACTGTGATGAGGGTGCTGCTCTTGGGCGGCTCCCTGCTGATGGGAAGGTGCTCTGGACCCGTAGGGCCCACCTTCCCCCCAACTCTTGGGCGGGAGCCTGGTCCTCCACTCCTGAGCCAGGGGGGCTTCCACCACAGCCTGAGGACCACGTTTGTGTGTCTCAAGAAGGGGAGGAGGGCCTCAACTTCTTTTCTAGGTTTGGAGGGGTGGGGATCCTCAGGGAGCTGAGGGGACACTCTGGAAAATGTAGGCATGAAGGAGGGCTGGAGAGAAGACGGAGAGGATCTAAGGAGGCTGAGTGAGGTCAGGAAGGGAGGAGCGTTCAGTGAACACCTCCGAAAGTTTAACCCAAGGGTCTTCCTCTCCTCGGGCAGAGCCCTGGGATGACTGGCACACAGCATCCCATCTCTTGGCCCTCTTACTCAGCATCGCCTTTGTCTGCTGTGCTGGTACCTTCTTTTTGCTCCACTTCCTTCCCTAAACTGACTCTCCGCCCTGCTCTCTGCCCAGAAGGCCGACCTGCATGGTTACTGCAACAGGCTCCCTTGTCCTCTGGTTTCTGGCCAGGTTCTACACAAGGCAGGAAGGGAGGACATGCCTGCCCCCCACAGCGCCTCTCCTTGAGCTCTGGAGGCTAACTCGCCACTTGGGGCCAAGGGGTGCTGGCAGCCCCCGCCGTTACAGCGCATGCCCTGCACACTCCCTGTGGTTTCTTACAGCTGCTCACACCTGTGTGAGTCCTTCCTCAAATTTATATACTTTGGGTGGCCCACCTATTTTTCTGCTGGGCCCTGACCAACAGAAACGCTTACCTGATTGCTCAGTGAAGCAACGACTCACACCTGCAGCAAAGGTCAGTGGGAGGTTGGTCTGGGGAGAACAGGTGAGGCGGTGCTTTGTCTGCTTACCTGATGTGGTTCTGGGCAAGATGGGGCTTCCACCTGTGAACCATTAGGTGGGGAAGTGCCAACCAGCCGATGCCATTCCAAATATGAAACCATGATTTCGGATTTCCCCTCACAGGGTACAGTTAACTGCCACTGCCCCCATGTGGACAGAGGAGGGACCCTGCCCAATTAGATACAGATGTATGTACAGAGAAGGCTCTAGAAGGATTCCGTACTCACTGGTAGAGTCAGGGAAAGGAAGGTACACTGTGGGTGACTTTGTTTGTTTATATTCCCAGGTATTTTGGGGAATGCACGTGTTATTTTTATAATGAGAAAACAATACAGCTTTGGAAAAACGAAAGAGGGGGTGAAGCTGTGGCAAGGGTGTTAACAAGCTTCCTGGCGTGAGGGCTTCCTGCCTACCCAGACCCTGACCCTGACCCTGACCCCCACCAGGCTAACTTTCCTGAGAACCTGCTGAACCTTAGCCTTTGCACTTGTCCTCTCTGTGCACCATTTTGCTCCGGGCCAGGGCGAGAACAAGGTGGAAAACACAGTGTGAACACAGGGGGTGCTGGAGGGCCCTGTGGGTTACTTTCACGATCCCTGTGGCTCCTTGTTGTGCTGACAGTCAGACCCCACCCCGAAAGCCTGGCTTGTCAGTCTGGTGAGCCTACTCCACTCGGCCTACCCCTGGTGTACACCTTCTCGGGGCTCTCCTGCAAGGCTGGCTCTGTTCCTAAGAAGCACTAATCCTGCCCAGCTGCTTTGTGCCAGGGGAAGTCCAGACCTGGCTTCAGGTGCTGGCTTTGCCTTGACTCACGGCGGGAACTTGGACTAGCACGTTCTGTTCTCTGGGCCTGTTTCCCTCCATGGACAAAGTGGAACCCAGCCCCCCAGCTCCAAGGTTGTTGGATTGGGGAAAGAAATTTCCCTAGGGGTGATCCCTCTGCTTTCCCTTCCCCTCCACTCAAGCCCCTTTGGGGGCTGAGAGGGAGGGGAAGGCTCTGGGAGCCGGGCTTCGGGTCCCTTTGAGAAATACAGCGCCCTCTCTGGGAGTGTGTGAGTTTGACTCCCGTAAGCCTGGGGCTGAAGGAAAACCATTAATTGAATCAAGTGAAGGAAAAAACATTGTGTCAAGGTCATTAGTGTTGCTGGCAGGTGTAACTTTCTTCCCACAGTGGAGCTGAAACAGACCCAGGCTAACCTGGAGGGCGGGGACCAGGCCCCCGGGGTAGCCTGGCACCCAGCCTGGCTCAGTAAACGGTTCCTCAGTCGAGTGCAGGATGTTCACGGGGCACAGGGAAAGGAAGCACGGCCTGATACTGAAATTTTGACAGACATTGCTGTGCACACCAGGGCCACCCAGGTCAGCCAGTATCGCTGGGAGGGCAAGGCAGAGGCTCTAGGTGCCAGCCTGGCCCAGCATTTACAGCCAGCATATCTGGTTGGCCTTATACTTCCCCTTGCCACCCCTTCCCGGTGGGTCAGCTCCAGGTGCTACCACTGGGAACCCCGACTCTCCTCCTTCTGCGCCTTTGCTCATGCCGGACCTCTGCTCAGAATGCCTCTCCTCAAAGCCATCTGGCAGAGACTCCCTATTTCTACCAGGCCCAGCTCAAATCAAGCCCTAAGAAGCCTTCTGTCTTCTCCTTGCAAGACTTTCCTCCTCCTCCTCACACCTCCCGGGGCACACTGTCTGCAGTTAGATCACTGCCTCCTGCCTTGTACAGGCGAACCCTAGCTGAGGGCAAGGCCCTTCGGGAGCTCTCAGCTGACACCCTTGTCCCACTAGAAACGAACACCCCACAGCTCTTATTGAAGGCCTCCTAATGAACACCTTTAAAGTCTCCACCTTGCTCTGACGCCAGGAAGCCCCCGACAGCCTGTCTACCAGGCAGGCTGGTGTGCTCCCCGTAGCAGCTGGCCAGTGAGAGCATTACTTCCTTGACCTGAGCTGGGCCTGCGTGGCCCATAACCATCTTCAGAGTTCTCGGGACGGCCCTCAGAGCAGGGCCGGCATTTAGATGGTTCTCTCCCCGTCATACCCGATTCCCCAAACCCATGCATCTCCCATGTCTTGTATTTCCTTCCCAGACCATGAAACTTCTACTGCCTTCCTAGTGAAAAATTTAGTCTGCCCTGGCTCTCATCCCATCTCTATGAGAAAGAACCTCATACTGCGTTACTGTTTAAAACACTCACAGTCCCTCCAACTCCCCCCCCGCCAAAGATTATACATCCCTACCTTTTGAACTCAGGAGTGGCCCTGTGATTTGCTCAGGCCACTAAGGCACAGGCAGAAACGACAGTGTCACACCTAAGGGCCAGCTGTGGTCCTCTGCCTCTGTCCTCCCCTTGGTGAGGACGCTGGAGTGGGTCCTGAGGCGAAGATGGTGTGGAGAGGTGCAGCGGACCCGCAGCGGCCGTGGGATGGGAGCAAGTGCCGAGCCTCCGCTGTTGTCAGCCACTGGAGTTTCGGGGCCTTGGCCTCCGCTGGCTGGACGAGCCTCTCAGGCCCTGATCAGTGGACCCTCTGAGCCCACAGCCCAAAGTTCTCACTGTCCCAGGACACAGCCTGGAGCCGAGGCACCAGGCCCAAGGCGGTGGGGCCAGAACTGCCTGGCGTGTTCCTGGGTCTAAAGCTTTCTGGGTCTCTGTACTTGACACTCTGCCACTGCCCGCCCCCTGGTCACACCTGACCAGTTCCGTTCCAGCTGCCCCACTTTCCCAGGGCCCTTGGCTTGGAATAACAACACCCCCATCATTCCAGAGCAAGGGACACAGCTCACCCGAGTGAGCAGTGGTTTCATTCTAAATGTCCACATTGCCTGCAAGTATACATGACCATATAAAAATTATTTTTATTAAAATAGCTTTCCAGTATATTGCATTGAAGACATTTATATAGAAAAAACAATTGCAACAAACATGCTACATTGGCATTGAGATATTCTGAAAGTTTAAGTGCCCACTTTTAAACATTTTGGTTTAAGCATATCCTTATATATTTCAGAGGGTACATATAATACTGAAAAATACTTCATGTAAAATCTAAGTTTAGGTGCATACAAACAAGAAGTATTACACTGAATAGCTTATTTCAAACTGTGAAACACATTCAAAGTATTCAACTTCTTAGACAACATGCAGACATTTTAATACTTAGACTGACATTTTTAAATAGATAAACCATAATTCTTTATAATTCTATCTCAGAAAAGAAAGCAGACGAACACTCATCCACATTGTGCATGTCACAAAGAGCAAATGTGTCTTCATAAACGGGAAGTACTAGGCTAACACGAATGATTGTCGCTTTACAAATATGGCTATTCACCTTCTTCACAATAAAAATAGAAAAATCATGTAGTATTTACATGAACTAATTATTTCACTTTTTGGCAATTATATAAGTAGCAGCAATTGGTTTAAAGATTGATGTTTGTGAACTCAGAATTCAACTCGGACGGCACCCGAGAACACACGTCTGGGTAACGTGAAGATGCACAAAGCAAGACGCTCCGATGTGCTGTGACTGCTCCTTCACCAGAGTCACAGACACGCGTCTGCAACCACTGAGACCGCCGCACACAGGACATCGTGTGAGTGCCACTTGGGTGGCTTGCTTTCGCTGATCACAATAGGTGGGTCCCGAATTACACTTCTGTGTGTTAAACTGGCCTGACGACCCACATGGTAATTCCAAAGATACTGTCTCCATTTCATGCGCTGGTGGCAGTGGCTCTTCACTGTGACCCCTAGCCTCTCAATAGAGTGATTATCTGTAAACAAACACTCAAACATTAGGGGCCCCTTAACACTTACAGGAACTCTGAAATGAACTTTCTGTGACACAAAGCTCATAGCATAGTGAGTTGTTTTCTGAAAAGTGACCATCTCGTCTATCAGTGATACTGAATACACATATTTTGGAGCGAGGGACCCATCTAATGAGCCAAATGTAAGTTGGAAGGCAGTGATCCACCTGAAGGAAACATTCTCTTTACATCAGTATTTGGAAGAACATAGTTTTCCATTTATGAAAACAAAACAAAACAAAACCCCTATCGATATTGGCAGATGAAAGAAAATACTGTGTGGTGAACAGGTGATGCGTGCTCCAACTCGGCCACTCGTCAGCCACAACCCAGCAGTCCTGCGTGTCTCTCCCAAGGCAGAAAGCCAGACGGAGGAACACGCCGCACTTCCCACGGGTCATCAGGTGCACGTCCAGGCCACGTGCAAGGCGAGGCCCAGGCTGAGGAGGAAGAGGCCGGAGCGGCAGGGAGGTCGGGCCCCAACGCCGGCCGACGGCACGCTGCTGGAGACCTGCACCTGGGAGATGATGAGGGCGGAGAGCGGGACGTGGGACGCCAGAGTGGGGCTGTCGGAGTTGATGAGGGACTCGATCTTCTCCGCTTCCTTATTGCAGGCCTCAATCTAGGAGCGGAAGATCAGGTTCTTTTAACAGAAAACCACAGAACCCAGGAGGACTCAAGTCAAATTCCACATACATTCTGACACAAGGAATACGCTTTCACCTTGTCCTTTTCTTAGATAAAGTAACATTTCCTTATAGTCTTAATTTATTGCATAAATGGTAACAGCATCCATGGAAATCAAATCAGAAAGGAAACAACCCACAATGCTGCTGCCCTGCCTTTTCCCGAGATCCTCTCGCTGCTCACCCACATTCAGACAGCAGCTTTATACAGTTAAACACCGTCACAGGGAATGGATTTTCAGTGCTATTCACACGTTGGGAGGAACGTAATTGGACTTAGTGAGCTTTCTGACCACGGCAGTTTATAGGCTGTTTGTATTCATCCCTTCACTTGAGTCCTCACTATGCTGATGCTGAAACTCAGGTCCACTTGATCGAGGTTCACCCTGAGATTGTGAGGAAGAAAAACTGCGGCACCCAAGACCAGCCCACTGGAGAGTGGGCTCCTCCTCCCCAGTGGGAGCACAGTCCTCGGGGGACCAGGGTCAGTTCTGCTGTCACTGTGTGACCTTCATCACCCCCTTCGTTCCCTGACCCTGCTGTCTTGTCTGTATGATGAGTGGCTGCATCCCATCTCTGCACCCTTTGAGTCACGGCACCCCAACTTCTCCTGTCCCTGCTCCTCTGCATTCTGCTGTCAAATGTGCACCTGGCCTCAGCCGCCTGGCACAGTGCTCGCCGGGTGCAGCAGCTCTGTCCCTCAGACACTGCCCTGCCGAAATGCCCCCATTTCCTCACCACCTGCTCCCCGCTCCATCCTGGCTCGTGCCCGCCCCTCCCAAGCCCACCAAACATAAAACCGACAAGATGGCTGCAGACCGAACGCTGAACCCCACCTGCAAAGCTTTTGGATAGTGATCGACAGGAATGATCAGGGCCACAATTTCCGATTCAATGCTGAAGTACCCAAATACATCACACTGTGGAACAGACACATGCATGCGGATTTTCTCAAGTATTTCCAGAACTGTTATTGGCTTTTTGTTTGTTACCTAGAAAGAGAAAAACATTCCTATTACCAGCAAAAAAGAATTCCTTATTACTGCCTAAGCTGCCTTGCTACCTCGCCTAAGCCAAGGAAGCTCTTTTGACCAAGGACCCCCTAAGCACAGGGCCCTGCCAGCTGAATTCTAAGTTTCCACAAAGTCCATTCCAATGTGTTTTGCCTGACATGCAGCTTTGTAGCCAGAAAAAAAACCACTTTCACCAGAAGTACTTTTTAGTGACTGTTCTGAGTTGGATGCCACAGGGAAATAATTAAAGTCTTTATGTAAAAATACAGGCAGTTTAATCAAAATGGGGATAATTTCTGAGGCAGTGCCAGGTGTCGGCCACTGCAGGGCAGGAGCCCTGACCCACAGCAGGGAGCAGTAAGTGACGGTCCAGAGAAAGAAGAGAGGCGAGGCTCTCACGGGACTGCGGCTGGCTCCGAAAGCAGCTCACAGAGCAGTGGAACTGTGAGGGCAGGCGGCCCGGGCACCGCCTGCGCACCTCCCAGCCTCCAGCTGCCTGGTTTTGCCTCTGCTTGCTGGGCCAGGAGGGGAACTCTTCCAGAAAGGCTCAGGCTGTGACGTACAGAGCAAGGCCACCACACAGCCAGGGCGTGGAGGAAAGGAGCACAGGATTGGGGGGGGCCAGACAGCCTGAGTTCAAACCCTGGTTCTACCGGTTATGATCTGTACGGCCTTGGGCAAGCTGCTTCTCTGCAAATTAGTTTCTTTATCTGTAAACAGGACAACACATTCTACTCTGTTGGATTACTAAGAATCTTATCCATAAAGTTTCAACAGTACCTAGCATATAAAGCAATTTACCTTGGCAATAGTATCCAGTTTTTCTTTGTCAAATAAAACCCTTAACATCCCAGCACATAACGGGCAACAAGCACCTGTGTAAGAGAAACCATGACACGTGTTTTCAGAATTAGAAACAAGAACAGAAAGTAGTTGGTGACATTGACAACCCTTCACTTTGTGCTAGGAGAGTTACAGCTGGCCCTCCCGATGACTGCACTTTAGATATGTACCCTGACCAATCGGGTCTTGCAATCTGCACACTTCCCAAAATCTTTCCCCCATCCCTGCTTTATCCTCCACCACTCCTCAGGGCAAGGTGGCTGGTGTAAGACACAACACGGAGCGGGCTGGCCTCCTAAGAGACGCGGAGTCCAGACCTGCCCTGTCTCAGTGCTCTCTGTGACTCCGGCCGAGTGCTCTCCTGGCCTTTGCTTTCTACCTGCGAATCAAGGGGGCAGGTGTTTTAGGGACTCCATGAGTGTTTAACTCTCATATAATTTTAAAGATTATTTTAAATTGTTATCGAACAAAAACAAAATATCAGAACATGATCTCCAGGAGGAAAGGGCCTTTCTTTCGCCCGGGGCTGTGTCCCTCGTGCCCGGGAGAGGATCTGGCGTGCACCAGCAGCTCCGCGAACAGTCGGTAGATTCACGGAGGGAGGAAGGAGCTTGTTGGGCTCCGGACTGACCTGCCCTGTGCAGTCTCGGGATAAAGTCCCTTCTGCCCCCTCTGTTTACCGGAAGAGTAAGAGACTATAACATAAGCTGTTTAAAAAAACCGTTGTGACTCCTAACAGTCTTTCTAACAAGATGTTCTCAATTATATGCAACTCAAACAACTGGATTCTAAGGCCAATCTGAGATAACAACTATCTTCTGTTTCAAATGTTTGTGTTCATCAAAATGACTTCAATTATTCATTGAATAATTCAATTCAATTCATTCAATTATTCATTAGTAATTACTAATTCTTTATTCACTAACTTTGTGGTAACATATCTTTAAAGTAAACATTATGCATTTGAACTAATAATCATAGTTTTAGTGATTAAATATTGCTTTATCTGTTTATATATTGGTGTTTGGTGTAAGATTCTGCTTTAAAAAAGTTTGCCATATTGTCTTAAAACCATTAGACCAGATGATATCTAAAGTAACCCACAGCTTTTTAAGGTCAACCCAGAGTTCTGCATCTTACCAGCAACAGCCAGAGTTAAGACTTTCTGGAAAATTTAAATAGGTTACCCTCTTCTCCTCAGTGACCCACAGTCTGGAGGCAGACGAGCAAGTCTTCTGGGTTCCCCCCACCCCGGCTCCGCCCCCCCCGCCCCCCCCAAACATCACTGGCCTGG